TGGGCAGTGCCTGCATCTGAGGAAGGCAGCTGGCCAGACAGAACCTGGCACACAGAGCCCTGCAGACCTGGGACCGTGTACCTGTTGGCTCCCAAGCTGGCCACACTGTTACTGACTGAAACCCACACTGACCAACTGAGCAAAGTCCTACTCCAGAACCAAACGACACACACAACCCATGTCACCTGCGGTCAAATCACCTGTGAGGTCACATCTCCTGTGAGGTCACGTCACCCATGAGGTCACATGTCACCCGTGAGGTCACATGTCACCCGTGAGGTCCCGCGTCACCCGTGAGGTCACACATCACCCGTGAGGTCACGCGTCACCCGTGAGGTCACGCGTCACCCGTGAGGTCACGCGTCACCCATGAGGTCACACGTCACCTGTGAGGTCACACGTCACCTGTGAGGTCATGTCACCTGTGAGGTCACGTCACCTGTGAGGTCATGTCACCTGTGAGGTCACATCACCTGTGTGGGCATGTGTCACCTGGGTCACGTGTCACCTGGGGGCAGGTCACCTGGGGACACATGTCCCCTGGGGGCAGGTCACCTGGGGGCAGGTCACCTGGAATCAAGTCACCTGGGGGCAGGTCACCTGGAATCAGGTCACCTGGGGGCGGGTCACCTGGGGACATGTGTCACCTGGGGGCAGGTCACCTGGGGTCACATGTCACCTGGGGGCATGTGTCACCTGGAGTCAGGTCACCTGGGGACATGTGTCACCTGGGGCGGGTCACCTGGGGGCAGGTCACCTGGGGTCACGTGTCACTTGGGGTCACATGTCACCTGGGGGCAGGTCACCTGGAGTCAGGTCACTTGGGGACATGTGTCACCTGGGGCAGGTCACCTGTGGCAGGTCACTTGGGGTCACATGTCACCTGGGGGCGGGTCATATGGGGTCACGTGTCACCTGGGGGCGGGTCACCTGGGGACACGTGTCACCTGGGGTCACGTGTCACCTGGGGCAGGTCACCTGGGGTCACATGTCACCTGGGGCAGGTCACCTGGGGTCACGTGTCACCTGGGGCAGGTCACCTGGGGCAGGTCACCTGGGGTCACGTGTCACCTGGGGCAGGTCACCTGGGGTCACATGTCACCTGGGGCAGGTCACCTGGGGTCACGTGTCACCTGGGGCAGGTCACCTGGGGTCACGTGTCACCTGGGGGCAGGTCACCTGGGGTCACGTGTCACCTGGGGCAGGTCACCTGGGGTCACGTGTCACCTGGGGGCACGGGGCTGAGCACTCTCCCCATGGGGGCCGCGGTTGGAGGGCAGCAGAGGCAGGGAGGACGGGGCAGAGCACCCCAGGGAGGAGGAGGACCAAGGTGAAAACCGTGCAGGAATGTGCAGCCAACGGCTCAGGCACCCCAGGCCGCCGCTCCAGCGTCCAGCCGCGGGCCCTGCTGCGGAGCCGGTGGCAGGGCGCCCCCTGCCGGGGCTGAGACCGGCCCGGAAGGTAGTTTTGTCTCTGGCTTCGCCTGGTGCATGGGTAACACTGGTCTCACAGGACCAGGTTGTTAGAAAATAAAACCACTTCTGCTTCTCTGCCATGTTGAAACGCGGCCAAGAACCTTGGCTGGGAGCCAGAGCCATGTAGCTTCCGGTGGGCTTCCAGCCACCAGACTCCTGAGCCAAGAAAATGCCTTACCAGACACTCAGCCTCAGGCACCGTTAGAGCAACTGAGACCACCAAGCAAAGGCCCTTGGGCAGGCCGCTGTCCCCCTGGGCTTGGCCGGGGTGTGGCCATGGGCTGTGCCCGGGAACCGCGTCCCTCGGGTCGCGTGGTGGCCACGCGTGACATCCTCCCCAGACCAGCTACGCCATCACCGTCGCTCCCGGTGTGAGGGGCTCTAGGATCACCCCACATTCACTGATGAGTCTTAGCACACATCTTTCTAGAACACTGGGATTATTTGTTCTGTAGCTGGATGGAAGATTTACCTCCAAGTCACCCCTAGGCAGGATCAGGACTCCAGTTTCCCAACGCCCCAGTGCCACACACCGGTGCACATGGACAGACACGATACGGCACACACAGGGTCGGGGCACAGGCCACAGCCTCCGCCCTCCCCAGGCCCCCCTCCGCAGCCCCTCCAACACTGCTTCCTTGGCTGCGGGAACCACGGCCACTCTTGCCCTGCAGTCCTGGCCCCAGATGGAAGTGGGATCCCTGGGAGAGGGGGGATAGAGGGGTGTGAATGGGAGAGGCCACACCTGTCTGTCCAGCGTTCAAACACAGCTTACATAAGCCCACCCTCTTCACTCCAGGGAGGTCTGGGCCAGGACAGGAGCTGGCACTGAGATGTGGAACCATGGAAGTAGATGGACACCGGAGACCCGAGCAGCCCCGGGCCTGCCCTGCTCTGGGATCTATACGTGCGTGTGTGTGTGTGTGTGTGTGTGTGTGTGTGTAGGAGCCTGCGGGAGGAGAAATGCAGAAGAGCAGGATGCAGAGCACAGGTCTGCTGCACGCTTCAGGCTGGCAGGCTCCCCACGGAGTCTGCACACTGCACAAGCCCTGATCACTATCGCCTACCAGCACCTCTGGCAGGGACTCTGCCCACTCCCTTTCTATCTCTAGAACAGACCCATTTCCAATAAGCATCTTGGCTCGGTGGTAGAGTGCTTGCCTTGCATGCATGAGGCCCTGGGTTCGATTCCTCAGCACCACATAAGCAGAAAAAGCCTGAAGTGGTGCTGTAGCTCAAGTAATAGAGCTCTAACCTTGAGCATATTGGAGCTCAGACAGCACAGGCTCTAAGTTCAAGGCATCTGCATGCTGCAACCTTCCCATCCGTTGTGTTCAGGTATGCTCACCTGTGTGTGCACAGCAAGGGTGCACAACCATCCTGGAATAGCTGTGCCCCGTGCTGTGTGCACGCCTGGCCAATGCAGGACACGGACAGGGAAGGCCCGCCCTGCCCCAGGGACACCACCCAGGAAGAGCCCCGAGAAATGCCAGCATGTCTTCTTCCCCTGGAATCACTTGGTCAGTGCTCAAAGGCTCACAGACACGTCACAACAGCAAGACTTGAGGCCGAGAGAAGAGGGTCTGTCTGTGGCGCAGCCCGGGCTGGCTGCCACCGCCCGCGGGCCTGGCCGTGTTCCGAGGCTGCCTCCTGCGGCTGGCCCCCCTGGGTAGTGCTGGTGCGGTGGGTGTGTTGCCCAACCTCAGAGGCAAAGGGCCTGCTCTCCGAAAGCCAGCGTCGAGTCAGAGCGCCTCATTGCACACGTGCTCACAGAAGAGGCGGCCCGGTGGGTGCCCCAGCCACAGCCTGGGGTCCTACCAGCTCAGCTCCCGGACCCAGGCCTGGGAAGAGGAGGCTGGGAGCCAAGGCAGCTGGGGACAGGCCATGAACCTGGACTTGGTGCAGAAAAGCGAGGCCAAGGACTCTGGAAGGAACGCAGCACTGGAGCCACGCGCCCGGCCACGGCCCTCAGATCAGAGGTCGCACCGTCCCCGACGGTCCCTCGCTGCAGACCGAGCTCCTCTAGTGCTCTCTCCTGCTCCTTCACATCCCTGAGCCTAAAACAGCACCTAACTCCACGTGAAGATGTGCTGGAGGAACGGGGTTCTGTTCCACTGCAGCATCACGTGACCCTGTCCAGTGGGGCCTCGGGGAGGCCTGCCAGACCAGCCGAGGGACCGGAGCGGACCGACAGGCGGGCGGCACCCGCAGATCAGCATCAACCTACCAAGGCCTGGCCGACTGGATTGGTCTGAGCTCCCTTGGTCTGAGCTCCCTGGGCTTCTCCAATCCCCAAACCTGGTCTTCCTGACTGGCAGTGGCCAGACCTCACAGCCAGGCCAGGATCTGGCCCAGCTTTAAAATGGCAGCAGCCTTTCTGGAAGCCCTGAGCCCTGGGGTGCACCCTGGCATTTCCTGTCTCAACCTGCAGCCCCCAACTGCTGGGAGTGGGTTTCCGGCGGGGCTGCGGCCAGGCCTGCACTATCAGCGCAGCACCAGACACCCCGGTCAGGATACTTGTGGTGAAACTGTGAGGTGGCCGGTCCTTGGGGTTTCTCTCCCATGTCAGCCTCCAAGACAAATGGAGAGGAAAGTGACCCCAGGCCCTTGTAGGCCCTGTGAGGGGAAAGGACCCCAGGCCCTCTTAGGCCCTGTGGGGGGAAAGGACCCCAGGCCTTCTTAGGCCCTGTGGGGGGAAAGGACCCCAGGCCCTCTTCGGCCCTGCGCTCCCCTGAGGCAGGCTGGGCTGCCTGCAGCTCCCCAAGTCCAGCTCCACCTGCCCTCTTGCCCCCCAAGGCTTGGAGACATGCAAAGGCCAGGCCCGGGCTACTGCGGGTCACACCTTATCAAGTGGGGGCCACAGTGGCCGTGCCACAGGGACAGGTGTCTGCACCCACAGGGAGGGTGCCTGGCTTCCACAGGGCCCCCCAGGGCACAGGGAAGCTCCCAGGGCAATGGCCTGGGGCCCAGGAGGGCAGGAGGCTGGGGCCTGCAGGTCCAGGCGTAGGCCTGAACAGCACGCAGGGGCCTATATGCCTTCGTGACCAAGCTGTGGCCCCAGAGCAGGCTCTACCAGGACAGGCAGTGCCCTGTGCCCAGACGGTGTGTGAGGCCACAGCGGGATTGCACAGCCCAGAGCCGTGGGAACCCCGAGGCCCCCTCTGGAAGTGGGGAAGGCCGGCCCAGGCTTCCCCATGGGAGGGGCTGGGAAAGGTAGGCACCCTGCCCCCTCTAGGCGCACCCAGGCCCTGTCGGCCCCCCAGCTCTCCTCCCACCGTGCGTCCTCTGCCGGGGACACAGCAGCCTTGCCTGGGCTGGAGCTGCAGTGCCCTCCCGTGGTGTGCGCCAGTCTCTCCATTCCAACCAGGCCAAGCCTCGTCCCACTGGAGCCTGAGCTCCGGCAGGCTGGTCTGCATCTCCCCCAAGCAAGCTCTGATGCACGCCTGGAAGACCCATGTTGGGATGGATCTGTTCCGGTATAACTGCTAAACTTGCGCTGAGGAACAATCCACCACTCACTGGATGGAAAGTACTAGGAAAGCATTTATTTTCATTTGGTCACACGTGCTTTGAAAATAAAACAAAATGTATACACTCACAAAATAACCAAACATCAAAAGTTAGAAGGACTACAAGATGAAGAAGGGGGAAAACACGGACTGCTGAAACGCCTTTGTTCAAAACACGGTGGTGTTTGGCGGTGGAGTTCTCTAAGCTCACACCCAGGAAGGCAGGCAGGGCCCGGCCTCCGGGCTGCTGCGCCGCCTCCCTCCACCTACCCTCTGCTCTCGAGTGCAGGCACAGGGCCCTGGACACAGGGCTACAGCGCATCGAGGATGTGGTCGATCTTGGTGACCAGCTCCTGGCGCTTCCCTGAGATGAGCCTCTCGTTCTCGATGTAGGTGTCTTTCTTGAGCTTGCCAGCCACCAGCCGCTCGGCCTCCACTGCCGACTTCAGCACCAGCTCCTTGACCTGCACATCCAGCTTCTGCATTTCACTCACCTGGCCAAGAGAGTGGGGGCACTGAGAACAGGCCTCCCGCCGACTCAAGGCAGCCGCGGCCCAAAGCCAGTCACAGCAGCAGCCACAGAGGGGCCGGCCGGCCGGGAGGGACTCTGGGTCCTGCCCCTCTGAGCGCTGACCTCACGGCCAGCCACTTGCCACCCCTGGCCTCATCTGCAGAAAACTGAGGACTAAGGGCAAGCACCGTGGAACCACCTGGCATGATGCCCTGGTACCCAGGTGAGGGTGAGCATCTCTGCTCTGCCTGCTAATCCAGGATGCAGTTAGGCAGTAGACCAATGGCTGGTGTGGGGTTAGGGCCAGCCATTACCAACAGTGCATGTGGCAGAGGACTGGAGTGAGCACGGTACGCAGCCCAGGCCCAGCTCACACACACCCAGGCACGGTCCTCGTGTGGAGGATATACATACACTAATGCCCAAAGAGTATGAATAGGACGCAGTCAGGGACTGTGAGGGACAGCTCTGAGCGGTGCTGGAGGTGAGGACACTTGCACCGCATGCCAGTCCCTGTGCAAGGCACTTACTCACAGAGCTACTTCCCTGTAGCTTGACCCAGAGGTCAAGTAACATCCCCAAAGTCAGAGTTGGAAGCAGAGCCTGCATTTGTTTTTTTTGCCAGTGCTAGGGCTTGAACATTGGGCCTGGGTGCTATTCCCGAACTTCTTTTGCTCACAGTGAGTGCTCTATCACTTGAGCCACAGCACTTCTAACATCTTCTGAGTAGCTTATTGGAGATAAGAGTCTCATGGACTTTCCTGCCTTGGCTGGCTTTGAACCATGAACCTCATATCTCAGCCTCCTGTGTAGCTAGGATGACAGGCGTGAGCCACCGGCGCCTGGCTTGAGTTCTTTTTCTGATGTCGTTTTTACCCTTTAGCTAAGTCTGGTCTTGAACTCTAAATCCTCCCACCACAGCTTCCCAAGTAACAGGACTGCAGGCAAGGCCACCGTGGCACTGAGATGCACCCACACTCTGTAGAGGGCCAAGGCAGACTGGAGCCCAGAGGAAACCCAGCCCCCCACCAGGACCTGGAACTTCCTGTGCCCAGGTGCAGTGCCTCACAAACCGTGCCTGAGCAGGCTCACCCAGCAGGCCACCTGGCTGGAGGCTGACTGAGAAGAGGCCACAATGCAAACACTCACCCTGTCACACAGGTCAGAGCCCTCTGTCTTCAGTCTGGACTGCAGGACTGCGATCTCGCTGGTCACAGCCTTGTGCTCAGTCTCTAGGCTCTTCTTGCCACTGTTGAGGGTGGAGACATCCCGAGACTGTTTGTACCTATTGATGGTCTCGTCAAAGTGACGATAGAGGCCTATCCTCTTGTTGACCAGGGTCAAAACCTGCTCTGTGATGCAAGCCACCTTCATCCTGGCCTCCGCAGCTGGATCCTAGAGGAGGGAAGGGGTGCCATGTCTGACGGTGCTCAAATTTGAGCCCACTGCAGAACACCTCCCAGGACACCCGGAAGCCCCCATTGTAGAACTATCAAACCCATGCTGACAGTCAGGACGACGCGCAGCAATGGGCATGACAGGGAACAAACAGATGAAGCAGCCCACAGGGCTCACCAAGTTGAGCCAGGACAGTAACATGAGAGCATACGGTGAACAGATATGGAAAGTGCTGAGAAGAGGCTTCAGCACTAGCTGAGGGCTTGAAGGAGGCTTCCTATTACACGTTCCTTCTTAAAGCCTTCGAGTGGAAGCTGGGAATGTGGCTCAGTGGTAGAGTGCTCGCCTAGCAAGATGAAGCCCTGGGTTTGATTCCTCAGTACCACATAAGCAGAAAAGGCCAGACGTGGCCTGAAGCTCAGGGACAGCGCCCAGGCCCTGAGTTCAAGCTCCAGGACTGGCACCAAAAAAAAAAGTGCAAACCAAGCATCTGTGGCTGTCTGTAACAGCTGTTAAGGAGCTAAGACCTGAGGACAGTGGTTCAAAGCTAGCCTAGGTAGGAAAGTCCGTAAGACTCTTATCTCCAACTAATCACCCAAAAGCCAAAAGTTGAGCTATGGCTCAAACAGCAGAGCATCAGCTTTGAGTGAAAAAGACAAGGCCCAGGCCTTGAGTTCAAACCCCAGGATGCCACCCCCAAAAAAGTAAGGAAACTGTTACAGATGACTTCCAGTATGTGTATTAAAAAAAAAAAAAAAAGTTTAAAGAAATAAAAAAGCATCTGCTTATTCTAGAAATTAAAAAAAAATACTATGTCATGTGTGCAGCCAGAGAGGTCTACAGGTATCTGTCAGTAGAGGGGGCTGGCAAGGCGGCCAAGGAAGTGCTCACCCCACCTACCAAGAAGCAGGGGGCTGCGTAACCACCACCAACCCATCCACACCCACGCCGCCACGCGGGCTTCCAGAACTGAAACCAGACAGGGACTTCACCCAGTGCACTGGAAACCACAGCGTCAAGAGAGAACTGGGAAGGCTGAGACCAAACACCAAGCCCTGGCTTTACCCAACTCCACACATACAAAGTATCTGCGCGGTAAACGTTCGCAGAGAGGGGAGTGTCTGGCAACAGAAGGGGGCTGCTCTCGGCTGTGAAGGTCACCTTGGTGATGGAGAAGTCCAGGCGCACATAGACAATGACGGTGAAGAACAGGATGTAGAAGGCAGCGACCACCAGCAGGGGCTCCTGCAGCATCAGCACCTTGTTGAAGGTGTAGTGGATCTGGGGGAGACGGGGAGACAGGCAGAGTCAGGGCCACAGGGACACCAGGACCTAGGTGCACAGACCCGCCCCCAGCCTGGCTCACTCTTCACCCTGACCCAGTGGCAGCCCAAAGGCAGAGACGGGTCAGTCGGCAGCTGCAGACGCACTGCCTTTTGGCAGAGCGGCTCGGCCACGCACCACAATGTCCTGAATGTGCTGTTCCACAAGGTTCTTCTTGTAGGCCACGATCACGGGGCGGCCAAAGGTGTCGAGGTAGGTGTAGTGCAGCTCGTCCGGGGCCCGGCTGATCTCGTAGGGGCTGTCCACTTGGATGTTCCTGGAGACAGAAAGGAAGGACACCCCGTGGCCTCAGACACAACACGCCCACAGAAGCATGGCCTCAGAGCTGGGGCCAGGGACAGCGAAGCTCATGCGCCACTCACCACCCTTGCCCTCCAGCCCTGAGGAGACCGCGCCCAGCCCCAGCCCAGGGCCCACCTCCACAGAGCCTCAGGAGCACCAACACTCCCCACACGAGAGAGAGGCTGCTAAGAGCACACCTGTGGCTCTCCTCTGCCCAGGTGCCCGCTGGGACGAGGGAGGCCCCTGCTGAGCCACCTCAAGAGCCCAAGACGAAGGGCGCGCCACTCTGCTCTGTCCGCACAGCAAAATGCACACCCCGCCATCCTAGCCTCAAGAACTTCCTTCTGCTGGACAGAGCTCTCTTTACAAGTTTTTAATTAATAAGCTTTTTATTGTGAAAATACCGTACAGAAGGGTTACAATTACATGAGCAAGGTAATGAGTACATTTTTTCTTTTTGCTTATGTGGTGCTGAGGAATGGAACCCAGGGCCTCATGCATGCAAGGCAAGCGCTCTACCACTGAGCCACCTTCCCAGCCCAATGAGTACATTTCTTATCAAGCACTGTTGGCTCCTCCTCCTGTTTCTCCTTACCATCCCATCTCCCTCCCCCTCACTGCATGTCCTCCCCTTACCCTACTCCGAAAGTTTTATAAATAAACCTCATGCCTTCCTTTGAGCTTAACTTTTCAAGCTTCAGTCAAAGCTTCGATAAGTATCTACTCAGACCCACGGAATGCACGGAGACCGGCATACTCACTTGGCCCCCTCAGGCAAAATGATCTTCACGGTCAGAGAATCTATTACTTGCTCGTCAAACACATGGTCCACAAACCTCATCTTCAGTGCATACTGGTCACCTGAGGAGTCAGGCAGATACAGACAGCCATGAGAACAGAGAATGGGTCAGCGACCGGATCCAGGCGATGGCGCACACCCATATCCTTGCTACTTAGGAGGCTGAGACACGAGGATCAGGATCGTGGCTCAAAGCCAACCCGGGCAGCTAAGTCTGACACTCTTATTTCCAATTAACTAGCAAAAGGCTAACAGTGAAAAACTAGCACTCAGGTATTGAGTTCACTCCCTAGTATTGGTATGAATGTGTGCACACACACACAGACAGACAGGATTCTGTGAACTGGAGAACTGTAACAGAATTAAAGGGAAATATGCTGCATAACACCTATTTGCTTCAACAATGCTCCCATAGCCCAAGCAGGTAAGATGGGGAAAGGAGGATTGTTTTTTATCTGTTGAGTTGTGTGGTAAACCAAGTGACTTGACTGAAATGTTGAATTCTGCCATCTGATACCCTCCAGATCCAGATTTCCAACACAGAATTAAATGTAACATACCAACAAAATGTCAACTGTAATACACACATCTTTCATACATGAAATAAACCAGCACAGCCTCAAAGCAACAATTCCCAATTCTCCTATTACTGTTTTCGTGCGTGCGTGTGTGTGCGTGTGTGCGTGTGTGTGCGTGCATGTGCGTATGTGTGTGCGTGTGTGTGTTTGACAGTGCTGGGGTTTAAAGAACACAAGGCCTAGCTGAGTGCTGGTGACTCGTGCCTGTAATCCTAAGATCACAGCTCAAAGCCAGCCCAAGCAAGGAAGTCTGTGAGACTACTTACCTCCAATAAACTACTAGAAAAAAACTGGAAGTGGTGCTGTGGCTCAAGTGGTAGAGCGCTAGCCTTGAGCTGAGGAGCTGAGGGACAGCGCCCAGGCCCAGAGTTCAAGACCCACACAAACAAACAACAACAACAACAACAAAACGCAAGGCCTGTGCGCCTTAGGCATGGGCTCTACTACTTGAGCCATATTCTAAGACCTTTTTGCCTCTGTTATTTTCCATTTTTCTGACCATGTCTCCAAGACAGTACTGACCATGACCCCACTTATGCTTCCTATGGAGCTGGGATGTTATGTAACCAGCTTTTTCTAGGTTAATCACATTCTCACCTCAACCTTCTGAGTAATTACCACCAGACCCAGTCTCATAGATTATGGTCTTAAAATACCATTGTCCACTAGAAGAAACTAGTTTCTTGAAAACTAAATTTAAGATATGGGGCTGGGAAGGTGGTTCAGTGGTAGAGCGCTTGCCTTGCATGCATGAGGCCCTGGGTTTGATTCCTCAGCACCACATAGGCAAAAAGAAAAAAGCCGGAAGTGGCGCTGTGGCTCAAGTGGTAGAGCGCTAGCCTTGAGCTGAAGAGCTGAGGGACAGCGCCCAGGCCCAGAGTTCAGGCCCCACCACTGCACCGTCCCCCCCCCCCCCCCAAAAAAAAAGATCTGTAGCCGAAATTACACAATTGAATCAGAAATATCTTTCCACAAGACATCAAGAAAGAAGAGACTGAGCCAGGCACCAATGGCTTACACCTATAATCCTAGCTACTCAGGAGGCGGAGATCTGAGGATCGGGGTTCAAAGCCAGCCCAGGCAGGAAAGTCCATAAGACTTTTTTTGTAGGTAGTGGGGCTTGAAGTCTGGGCCTGGGTGCTCTCCCTCAGCTCTTCAGCTCAAGGCAAGTGCTCTACTGCTTGAGCCACAGTGCCACTTCCAGTTTACTAGTGGTTTTTATTGGAGATAAGAGTCTCATGGACTTTCCTGCCCGGACTGGCTTTGAACCTCTAGCCTCAGATCTCAGCTTCCTGAGTAGCTAGGATTACAGGCATGAGCCACCAGTGCCTGGCTTATTTATTTTCGGTCAGTCATAGGGTTTTTACTCTGGGCCTGGGTGCTGTCCCTCAGCTCTTCAGCTCAAAACAAGTGCTCTACCACTTGAGCCACTTTCTTGCCCGGGCTGGCTTTGAACTATGATCCTCAGATCTCGGCTTCTTAAGTAGCTAGGATTATAGGCATGAGCCACCGGGGCCCAGCAAAACACTGTCTTTTTTGTTGTTCGTGGTGGTAGTTGTGGGGCTTGAACTCTGGGCCTGGGTGGTGTCCCTCAGCTCTTCAGCTCAAGGCGAACACTCTACCACTTGAGCCACAGTGTCACTATTATCTCCAGGTGGCTGTATGGCTCACGCCTGTAATCCTAGCTACTCAGGAGGCTGAGATCTGAGGATCCTGGTTCAAAGCAAGCCCAGGCAGGAAAGACCATGAGACTCTTATGGCCAATAAACCACTCAGAAAACCGGAAACATGATGTGGCTCAAGCAGTAGAGTGCTTGACTTGCACTGAAGAGCTGAGGGACAGCACCCAAGCCCAGAGTTCAAGCCCGACTGACAAAAAAAGAAACTATTTATAAATTTAACCAGCTTTCTCTGATAGTAGAGAATTTCCACTAGTGTATGAACCCATTAGTGTACAGATGCATTACTTTTACAACAGTAATTTGTACAGCAGAGTTGGCTCCTGACGTATTAGCATTCCCAAGAATACAAGTGAATACTACTGACACTGGAAGGGCTGGTGTGCTGGGAAAGAGGAAGCCACAAGGGAGGGAGGGGAATAGAAGACAGAAAGCCTCTCCTATTCTCTCACTGCATACAGACTCACCCAAATTATAGAGGTACTCATAGCTTGGGAGGTTGTAGCCAACCATGTAATGTGTCTTCCACCCGCCAAAGAGAGGGAATCGAGGCCTGATCTCCATCTCCACAGAGTCGTCCAAAATGAGAAGGTGGCTGGTGGAAACATTGCCAATCTCATCCCGGTAATAAACGTCCTGGGCAGCAGCAGGGAGGATGGTCTGCAAGGAAGTGGACACGGCTTCAAGAAGCTGCAGGCACCTCCATGGAGTTGACCTCAGAGGCACAAGACTGCAACATCTTCATTATCCCTTCATCTAACTTTACTCCTATGGCTTTAAAATTTCTAATAGTCACATCTAACTCAATCAAGAATGCTAAGTAGACAAGAATCCTCTATATAGTAAATAATTAATCCTTGCAAACGCCCTTGTGAACTAAGCTTAGTAGAGGTAAAAACAATCCTACAAGTGACTATGCAAGAAAAGAACTTAAAGCTGGAAGAACTTACATCAAATTACTAGGTAGAGTAAGGCTTTTTTTTTTAGTCGTGGCCCCAGACTGCCAAAAAAAAAAAAAAAAGATTTCTAATACTTGGTCAGGTCATGAGGGAAGGATGAAATACATAACTCTGTTCACACTTTAAGCCCTTCTACAATAGAGAAGAACATGAAGATATTTAATACTGGGTTAAGAATATAACACAGTTAACCTGACTGACATGCTCAAAGCCTTGGGCTTCATCCCAGAAAAAAAAAAATTTCCTTTTAAGACAAAAAAAAGACACAGAACTATACAAGTAACTTAATTTTTTTTAAACTGAAAAAGCAAAAATGTTGCCGGGCGCCAGTGGCTCACTCCTGTCATACTAGCTACTCAAGAAGCTGAGATCTGAGGATCACAGTTCAAAGCCAGCCCAGGCAGGAAAGTTCCTGAGACTCTTATCTCCAATAAACCACTAGAAAATCAGAAGTGGCACTGTGGCTCGAGGTAGAGCACTCACCTTGAGCTGAAGAGCACAGGGACAGTGCCTAGGCCCAGAGTTCAAGCCCCACAACCGACAAAAAAACAAGTCAACAATACTGTTTGAGTGGTGGTACTATTTTTCCTTTCAAACCCATGGTTTGGGGCTGGGACACATAGCTCAGTGGCAAAGCACTTACCTAGCAAGTACCAACAATCTGGGTTCCATTCCCAGTTCCAAAAAGAAGGGACAAAAAAAAAAACACAGGGCTGGGAAGGTGACTCAGTGGTAGTGCTTGCCTAACATGCATGAAGCCCTGGATTCAATTCCTCAGTTCCACATACACAGAAAAAGCCCGAAGTGGCCCTGTGGCTCAATTGGTAGAGCGCTAGCCATGAGTAAAAGCTAAGGGACAGTGAGTGCCCAGGCCCTGAGTTCAAGCCCAGGACTGGCAGTGAAAAAAGAAGTCCAAACAAAAATTATGGTCTAGAGCCAGACACAATGATACACATCATCCATAATCTCATCACGTGGGAGGGAAGCAGAAGCAGTTGGATGGAGTACCAGGACAGCCAAGGCTACATTCCAGACAATGTGGTACACATTACTCATAATCCCAGCACATGGGAGGCAGAGGCAGAAAGATCGAGTGAGTACAAAGACATTGCCATATTCCACTTATAGACCAGCCAAAAAGAATAAAAAATAATAAGTCAGGCGCCAGTGGCTTACGCCTGTAATCCTAGCTATTCAGGAAGTTGAGATCTGAGGAATGCGATTTAAAACCAGCCCATGCAGGAAAATTCATGAGACTCTTATCTCTAATTAACCACCAGAAAACTGGAAGTGACACTGTGGCTCAAAGTGGTAAAGCGCCAGGCTTCAGCAAAAGAGCTCTGGACAGACAGCACGTAGGCCCTATGTTCAAGCCCCACAACTGACAATGAAGAAATAAGCAAACTGTCTACTTGTCTAAGTTCTTCACTCAATTACTTGACAATTGATTAATTCCCAAACTATCTACTTTTTGCTACTTTCAAAAAGCAAGAGAGGGAAGACTGATGAAGTCAGTACTCACAGTGTCAAACTTGAATGCCACACACCTTAAAAGAGCGAATGGAAGATATCCCGCTGTCTGGCTGCCTCTGGTAGTCGTAGCGAGAGAAAGGCCCTTTGAGCACAGCCCCAGTGTGCTTCAAATCCACGTTCTCTTCCACGGCAATATTACCCCAGTGGGAGACCTCGATGACACGGGTCATGCTGGTGATGGTCAGGAAAGGGCTGTTGTTCTCATAGTGCACCTTAAAGGCATCCTAGGGAGAAGGAGAAACAAGCACCTCAAAGTTCTGAGAAATAGTTTTCAACACTAGTCTACAATCACATTTGCAGGAGACAGTCTACACACATCAACACAATAGTAAATATGAAATCGCTAACTTTTTTTTCTGAGCCAAGATCTTGCCATACAGTAGCCCATGCTGTTTCAAACTTGCAATCTTGATCTTTATGCCATCTCCCAAGTACGGCTGGAATTACACACGTGTGCCACTATACTTGGCTATATGCAATAAATATATATATATATATATATATACATATATATATACATATATATATATATATGTATATATATATATATGTATATATATATATATATACATATATATATATACATATATATATATATATACATATATATATATATATATATACATATATATATATATATATATATATATATATATTTTTTTTTTTTTTTTTTTGGCCAATTCTAAAGTTTGAACTCAAGAAGCTTACATTCAACCTGTTCATGGCTGGAACTCTACCACTTGAACCAGTCCTCTAGTGTGCTCTAGTGTGTATGTGCACCATTTCTTAATGACATACACTAGATCCTTTTGCTAATGTGGAAATAAATGTTCATTTGAAAAGACAGAATACACAAATTTTTTTAAAGCCTAACATATCTTTTGTATTTAAAAAATTGAATATAAGGGGGCTGGGAAGGTGGCTCAGTGGTAGAGTGCTTGCCTTGCATGCTCGAGGCCCTGGGTTCGATTCCTCAGCACCACATAAGAAGAAAGCCGGAAGTGGCGCTGTGGCTCAAGTGGTAGAGCGCTAGCCTTGAGCTGAAGAGCTGAGGGACAGCGCCCAGGCCCAGAGTTCAGGCCCCCACGACCGGACTCAAAAAAAAAAAAAATTGAATATAAGCCAGGCACCAGTGGCTCACGCCTGTAATCCTAGATACTCAGGAGGCTGAGATCTGAGAATTGCAGTTCAAAGCCAGCCTGGACAAGAAAGTCCATGAGACTCTTATCTCCAATTAACCAGAAAGCCAGAAGTGGTGCTGTGGCTCAAGTGATAGAGAGTTCCCCTTGAGCTGAAGAGCTGAGGGACAGAGCCCAGGCCCAGAGTTCAAGCCCCATAACTGGGGGAAAAAAACAATATACCTATACTTCACTTACCTTACAGTAATGATATCAGATGGGTTGGGTGATTTTTGTAGGTTTTTTTGTAGGTTGTAGGGCTTGAACTCAGGGCCAGGATGCTGTCCCTGAGCTCTTTCACATCAAGGTTAGTGTTCTGCCACTTTAAAACACAACCTGTTTTCTGGTGTTGTTAATTGAAGAGTCTCAGACTTTCCTGCTTACACTGGCTTTGAAGTGTGATCCTAAGATCTCAGCTTCCTGAGTAGCTAGGATTACAGGCGTTAGCCAACAGTGCCCAGCTGGCTGTACATTTTTTGCCAGTCTTGGGGCTTGAACCCAGGGCCTGGGCACTGTCCCTGACCTGCTCTTGCTCAAGGTTAGCCCTCTACTACTTGAGCCACAGCACCACTTCCAGCTTTTTCTGTTTATGGAGTACTGAGAAATCAAGCCCAGGGCTTCATGCATGCTAAGCAAGCACTCACTCTACCACTAAGCCACCTTCCCAGCCCTGGCTGTACAATTTTAAACTGTAAATAAAGGAAAACTTTGACTAGGAAATACAAGCTCCAATGAAGACATACTATAAACTAGAAAAGGTGGTGTGTGTGTGTGTGTGTGTGTGTGTGTGTGTGTGTGTGTGTGTGTGTGTGTGTGTGTGTGTGTGTGTGTGTGTGTGTGTGTGTGTGTATACACACATATACATAGTATTACTGCTTTTTTCTAACTGGAATTCACAAACTTTTTCAGCTAAAACTTATGGAGCTAATATAGAGAGAGCTAACATACATACATGTATCAGGTCCTCTTTTATAAACCTAAATGCATTATCTCACGCCACCCACAAAATAAGCTAAAATAAGAAATATTTTTATTTCCATTATAAAACCAAAATGGAGGCCCAGACCTAGCAGCCCCCTTACTTACTAAAGAGCATAACCCTAAGTGGTAATACTGCACATTCAGCTCTGACTTGGGCGGTCCAACTCCATCATTTTATAGTTAAGTACCGCCTCCCGCTTAGGTCCAGAAAATTAACATCTATACTTGCATCAGTTTCCTAACTTCTAAGCCACTTTTACCTTGAGGTTATTAGGGGGGGAAAAAAAATCTTTTGATACCAGCAAAAATCAGCAGCATGAGCTGGGAAGGTGGCTCCGTGGTAGAGCGCTTGCCTGGCATGCATGAGGCTCTAGGTTCGATTCCTCAATACCACATAAGCAGAAAAAAAGCCGGAAGTGGCGCTGTGGCTCAAGGGGTAGAGCGTTAGCCTTGAGCTGAAGAGCTGAGGGACAGCGCCCAGGCCCAGAGTTCAGGCCCACAACCAACAAGAAAAATCATCATTAGCAGCAGCAGCTCTAACCACTGTATAGCCCTAATGCCCTTCTGTGAAAACCCTTGAAGCACAGAGAACAAAATGTCAAAGAGCACCCTCCTCCCCAAGTTCATTCTGCCACTAGATTTTCATTGTGTTCCTGCACTGAGGCTTTAACTCAAGACTTTGTGCTTTTGCTTGGCTTTTTTAAATCTCAAGTCCAGCATTCTACCACTGAGCCAAACCTCTAGTTCCTGTGACCAGACTTGGTTATACCAGTACACCTTCATGTTTGAAGCTGTCTACAATATCGAAGTCTCAAGCCTGAACTGCTCCCTCCTAGCAGCACCCCAAGGCCCTCAGCCACTCCGGGATACTGCCACCCCAGCTCCCATCTCATCCCTCCACCACCCTCAACCCCCATCCCCACATGCAGTTAGCCACTGTGCTCCAAGAGAAGAGACCTCGAGACACACTCCACTTCAAATGTCCACCCACCCCAAGCCACTCCAGGCTATCAGCCAAGAGTCACTCTGCAGGACGCCATTTGGCCCCACCTGACTGTAGGCAGGGACATCTCTGAAAGGCCCATAATCCAGGAGGTCTTCAGAGCGCATGGGGTTCCCCAGCTTGGTATAGCTCTCCACGTTTCGGGAAGCAAGCTTCACGCGAGTGGTCTGGGTCTTCGTTGGGTAGGGAGAGTAGAAATAGTGGTTCCCCTCAAAAACCACAAACTGTTTCTCTGCCTGTGTTATCTGGGTTGGATAGGGCTGAAGCACATGGGTGAAGACTGTTTCCACGATGACTGAAATCTTGCTCCCAGGATCCAGAGCAACTGGGAGCTTGACCACGAAGAATCTTCCACTGAAGCAAGAGAATTGAGAAAGGTTTAGGTTAAAAGGTTAACAAGTGGGCTGGGAAGGTGCTCAGTGGTAGAGCGCTTGCCTTGCATGCATGAGGCCCTGGGTTCGATTGCTTAGCACCACATAAACAGAAAAGACCAGAAGTGGGGCTGTGGCTCAAGTGGTAAAGGGACAGCGCCCAGGCCCAGAGTTCAAGCCCCACAACCAAAAAAAAAAAAAAAAGGTTAACAAGCTTGTAGCTCAAAGTCACAGAAAAATTCTAGACCCAAAACAAAAATGATGTGTTTTTTTTTTGTCAGTCTTGGGGCCCAAACTCTGGGCCTGGGCACTGTCCCTCAGCTCTTCAGCTCAAGGCGAGCGCTCTACCACTTGAGCCACAGCACCACTCCCAGTTTTCTGGTGGTTTATTGGAGATAAGAGTCTCATGGGCAATTTCCTGCCTGGACTGGCTTTGAATGGAGATCCTTAGATCTCAGCCTCCTGTGTAACTAGGATTACAGGCATGAGCCACCAGGGCTCAGCTAAAGATGACTACCTTTAAAAGATCACTTTTTTATTTTTTTGGTCAGTCTTGGAACTTGAACTCAGGTCCTGGGCGCTGTCCCTGGGCTTCTTTTGCTGAAGGCTAGCACTCTACTACTTGAACCACTAGTGCAACTTCCAGCCTTTTCTGTTTATGCAGCATGGAGTTGAAGTTCTAAACAGCAGGAGGCCATAACACCATCTCCAAATAACCAGCAAAAAGCTGGCTTAAGGCATAGCTCAAGTGGCAAAGCGCCACCAAGCAAATAATCAGAGCAGGACAACCTTAGCTCAAACCTCAGTACTACCTTTGTGTTTTGGTTTTGGGTTTTTTTTGGTCACTCATGGGGCTTGAACTAGGCCTGGGCATTGTCCCTAAGTTTTGCGCAAGGCTAGCAACTTTAACACTTTGAGTCACAGCACCACTTCTATTTTTCTGGGAGTTTAATTGGAGCCTCACAGACTTTCCTGCCCAGGCTGGCTTGGAACCACAATCCTCAGAGCTCAGACTCCCCAGTAGGTAGGATTACAAACATGAACCACCAGCACCCTGAATTCAGCTTCTGAATGTTTACCAGTCAGTTCCAATAACTACCCATAGCCAGTACCCTTCATGACCTGATTCCCTTCCTTTGTTCATAGCACTACCATCTAACCAATTCTGGAATGCAGATTAATATTACCACTGTTAATAGCACTAATATCAAACCAACTGCAGAAATCTCAGGGATGTTCTGATACTTCACTCTACCCCATCCCAAATATCTGGTCAGTCCTGCCTTGGCGATTCCTCTTACACAGTCGTTTGTCAGATTACCTTTTACCCTTGATTTTGGTTTCTCGTACTTCCAGATTATTCTCTTCCTCATCTTCTCCCTTCACCTATTGCAAAAAAAAAATGAGTTATTCTTTAAACTTTTTGGTTTCTAAGTTTTTTCTCTACAACAAAAAATCATTGCCAGCTATGCACCAGTGGTCTTACCTGTAAAAAAAAGGTGGGGGCCTGGGAAGGTGGCTCAGTGGTAGAGTGCTTGCCTTGCATGCATGAGGCCCTGGGTTTGATTCCTTAGCACCAAATAAGCAAAAAGAAAAAAGCCGGAAGTGGTGCTGTGGCTCGAGTGGTAGAACACTAGCCTTGAACTAAAGAGCTGAAGGATAGCGCCCAGGCCCAGAGTTCAGGCCCCACGACTGACAAAAAAAAAAAACTGGAAGTGGTGCTGTGGCTCAACTGGTACAGTGCTAGCCTTGAGCAAAAATAAAGCTCAGGGACAGTGCCCAGGCCCTGATTTCAAGCCCCAGGAGACAGGAAGGGAGACAGACACACAGAAACACAGACACACATACAGAATGGGATTTAACACTCAAAGCATTCGAAGATGGTGGTGGTTCAGCTAAGTAAAATAAGGCCTGATCCACTCTTCCCAGATGCATCTGAGTACAGCTGTTTTCATCCAGGGCAAGGCATGAAAGGGATTGGGGTCACTTTAGAAATCCAATCTCTATTACCCCTTTGTAGAGCTCCACATCCAGAATAGAGTGCTCCCAAGAAATGTGACACTCAAATGGCCCGAAAAGGGCACCGCTGGGGTCCCGACGCCTCCCCCGGAATCCACCGGCCCCTTCCTTGGGGCAGCGGAGGGGCGCGGCGCCCCGGGCTCGCCTCGGCCGTTTTACACTGGGCAACCTCAAGTCGCTGGGCTGGCGGGGACCGGGGACCCCCAGAGCCCTCGGCTGCAGCCCAGAGGCCGCGCCCGCGAGGGACCCGGGCAGCCACGTGCGCGTCGGGGCCGTGCGGCCCGGTCCGAGGCGGAGGGCACCCCGACCCCGGCGGCTCCGAGGCCTGCTCCCCGTCGGCCCCCCCCGCACCCCGATCCCACCCCCACACGCACCCCGAGGCCCACCCGCACCCCGATCCCGCCCCCACCTGCACCCCGAGGCCCACCCGCACCCCGAGCGCACCCACCTGCACCCCGAGGCCCACCCGCACCCCGAGGCCCACCCGCACCCCGAGGCCCACCCGCACCCCGAAGCCCACCCGCACCCCGAGCCCACCCGCACCCCGAGGCCCACCCGCACCCCGAGCGCACCCACCTGCACCCCGAGGCCCACCCGCACCCCGAGCGCATCCACCCGCACCCCGAAGTGCGCCAGCCGCACCCCGAGGCCCACCTGCACCCCGAGGCCCACCCGCACCCCGAGCGCACCCACCTGCACCCCGAGGCCCACCCGCACCCCGAGCGCACCCACCTGCACCCCGAGGTGCGCCAGCCGCGCCTCGAGTTCCGGCTCCAGAGCCAGGAGGAAGGAGGCGGCGCGCGGCGCGGAGCCGCCGCCCGCGTGCGCCAGGACCACCTCGGCCGTGACCTTGGCCAGGTGGCTGCTCAGGTCCACCGTGCGCCTCACGTCCTCGTTGACGAGCGGCGGGGCCTCCGAGGCGCCGCCCGGCGCCGGGGCCCAGGCCCCGAGCCACAGGAGCAGCGGCAGCAGCAGGCCGGCGGCGGGCGCCTCCATGACCGGACCCAGCCGAGCGCCGACGCCCGGCTCCGCCCCCGCCACGGGGCGGCCTCCCATTGGCCAGTCGGGGCCACGGGGCCGCGAAGGACCCCGTCTCCAGGGCAACCGAGTGGCCGCCGCGCGCCTGACCACAAACCGGAGCTCGGCCCAGCGCTGCCGGAAGGCCCCCGGGTCCGACTGCGCGCCTGCGCCCGTCGTCTGCCCCCAAGGCCGCCAGCTTAGCTCGGGCAGAAAACGGAAGTTGGGTCCTCCAGCCCGCGACGCCAGCGGAGACTCGCGTGCAAGCGAGTGCGCACTGGCCCCGGGACGCCCACCCGGCTGGGGCCGCCACCTGGACCCCGGCCGCCGTGCGGACCCGGGTGCTCCCCCCCCGCGGGAGGAGCGGCCGTGCGGACCCGGGGTGCTCCCCCCCCCCGCGGGAGGAGCGGCCGTGCGGACCCGGGGTGCTCCCCCCCCCCCCGCGGGAGGAGCGGCCGTGCGGACCCGGGGTGCTCCCCCCCCGCGGGAGGAGCAGAGCGGCCGTGCGGACCCGGGGTGCTCCCCCCCCGCGGGAGGAGCGGCCGTGCGGACCCGGGGTGCTCCCCCCCCGCGGGAGGAGCAGAGCGGCCGTGCGGACCCGGGGTGCTCCCCCCCCCCCCCGCGGGAGGAGCAGAGCGGCCGTGCGGACCCGGGGTGCTCCCCCCCCCGCGGGAGGAGCGGCCGTGCGGACCCGGGGTGCTCCCCCCCCGCGGGAGGAGCGGCCGTGCGGACCCGGGGTGCTCCCCCCCCGCGGGAGGAGCGGCCGTGCGGACCCGGGGTGCTCCCCCCCCCGCGGGAGGAGCGGCCGTGCGGACCCGGGGTGCTCCCCCCCCGCGGGAGGAGCGGCCGTGCGGACCCGGGCCGCCCCCGCCTGGGCACGCTCGGTGGAAACACGTCGGAGTGGAAACTCCAAGGAGAGTAGCGGCCGGGCCAGCACCGAGCCCGGTCGCGGCACACGGGGGTCGGCCAGTCCACCTCCGGTCCTCCTCGAACTCAGGCTCACTGCCGGCTCGGCCAGGCCAGAGAGTAATGAGGGCGCCTGAGCGCCCTGCAGGCGACCGCGGCCAGACGCCCCTCGCTGTGCCCTTCCTGGGCATGTGCTTCTATTTACTGTGGGTGGTCGGTCGTCGGTCTCGAACTCGGGGCCTGGGCGCTGTCCCTCAGTTCCGCAGCTCAAGGCCAGCGCTCCACCACTGAGCCGCCCGCCCAGCCCTGGGCTGGGATGGTGAAGCCCTAAGGCCACAGGCCAACAATAAGGACGGTATTCAGGAGGCTGGGCCTGAGGATGGGGTGCGGAGCCGGCTCTCCACTCAACTGCCGAAAGGGCCAGAAGTGAGCTGCCGCTCCCTGACAGACAGACAGACCGACGGCCGGATGGCCAGCTCCGGCAACCGGCCTGAGTTCTGGGCAACACCCGTGCGGAGCTGCGCCTCCAAGTCGCGCGTGCGCGCGCACAGGCACACAAACACCCATCAGCCTAAATGAACTATCCGCCGCTGGCGTGCGCACACGCCTGCGCGTGAGCACGCACGCGTGCTGGTTCCTCGGGAGGCGGAGGCCCGACTGAGGGCCCGGAGGCTCCGACGGAGAGCGCTTCCGCGGGGACGCCTGGGCGCTGGAGCCCGGGACCGGCCTCTCGGCCCCGCCCGCCGCCGCCGTCGAGCGCCAGGGCGTACGGCTGGGGTTGGGCCTCGCCGGCCCTGAGGCCCCGCCCCCGCGCGCACCCACTGCGCACGCCCGGTCAGCCGGACAAGAACTTAAGCCTCTCCGGTGGCCAAAGCCACCCAGTAGACCCGGAAGCAGAATCTCCGCATGTCAAGACGGCGTTACTGCCGCGCCGCCGCCAGAGGGCCGCGTCGGCGCGCGCTCCCCTCGGCGCCGCGGGCACGGGCCCTGCGTGGCGGCGCGCGCTCCCCTCGGCGGCGCGGGCACGGGCCCTGCGTGGCGGCGCGCGCTCCCCTCGGCGGCGCGGGCACGGGCCCTGCGTGGCGGCGCGCGCTCCCCTCGGCGGCGCGGGCACGGGCCCTGCGTGGCGGCGCGCGCTCCCCTCGGCGGCGCGGGCGCGGGCCCTGTGTGGCGGCGCGCGCTCCCCTCGGCGCCCGGGTACGGGCCCTGCGTGGCGGCGCGCGCTCCCCTCGGCGCCCCGGGCACGGGCCCTGCGTGGCGGCGCGCGCTCCCCTCGGCGCCCCGGGCACGGGCCCTGCGTGGCGGCGCGCGCTCCCCTCGGCGCCCCGGGGCGCGGGCGCGGGCCCTGCGTGGCGGCGCGCGCTCCCCTCGGCGCCCCGGGCACGGGCCCTGCGTGGCGGCGCGCGCTCCCCTCGGCGGCGCGGGCGCGGGCCCTGTGTGGCGGCGCGCGCTCCCCTCGGCGCCCCAGGGCGCGGGCGCGGGCCCTGTGTGGCGGCGCGCGCTCCCCTCGGCGCCCGGGTACGGGCCCTGCGTGGCGGCGCGCGCTCCCCTCGGCGCCCCGGGCGCGGGCGCGGGCCCTGCGTGGCGGCGGTGCGCGCTCCCCTCGGCGCCCGGGCACGGGCCCTGCGTGGCGGTGCGCGCTCCCCTCGGCGCCCCGGGGCGCGGGCGCGGGCCCTGCGTGGCGGCGCGCGCTCCCCTCGGCGCCCCGGGCGCGGGCCCTGCGTGGCGGCGGTGCGCGCTCCCCTCGGCGCCCGGGCACGGGCCCTGCGTGGCGGTGCGCGCTCCCCTCGGCGCCCCGGGCGCGGGCACGGGCCCTGCGTGGCGGCGCGCGCTCCCCGCGTGGTGGCGCGCGCTCCCCTCGGCGCCCCGGGCACGGGCCCTGCGTGGTGGCGCGCGCTCCCCTCGGCGCCCCGGGCGCGGGCCCTGCGTGGTGGCGCGCGCTCCCCTCGGCGCCCCGGGTGCGGGCCCTGCGTGGCGGCGCGCGCTCCCCTCGGCGCCCCGGGCGCGGGCGCGGGCGCGGGCCCTGCGTGGCGGCGCGCGCTCTCCTCGGCGCCCCGGGCGCGGGCGCGGGCCCTGCGTGGCGGCGGCGCGCCCCGCGCCTGGAGCTCCGGCCCAGGCCGCGGGCCCCCCTCCCAGGCCGGGGCTCGGTGCTGGGCTGTGCGCACCCCGGACGACCGCGCTCCTCAGCTCAAGGCGAGCGCTGCACCACGCTAGCCACCGCGCCACTTCCGGCTATTGAGAGAAGCGTCTCGGCCCTGCCTGCCGGGGCTGGCCTTGAACCGCGATCCTCAGAGCTCGGCCTCCTGGGTGGCAAGGATGACAGGCCTGAGTACCGGCGCCCGGCTGAGCGGACATCTGAAAAGTGTTGGGTTTGTGACCACGAAGCTGTGTTGCTTGGTGCAGAACGCGGGCCGGGGGACACGTGGCTCGGTAGCCTGCTCTCTCGCGTGCAGTAGGCCCTGGGTTCGATTCCTCAGCACCACACACACAGAAAAAGCCAAAGTGGCGCTGTGGCTCAAGTGGTGGAGCGCCATCCTTAAGCAAAAGCAGCTCAGGGACAGCGCCCAGGCCCTGAGGTCAAGACCGAGGACTGGCAAAAAAAAAAAAAAAAGCCCAAATCTCTATGACAACCTGGACCCCACACATTCAAAATTACCATAAAAAGCAACACACCTAAAGCTGGGCATGATGGTGCGCAGCTGCAATCCCGGCTACGCTGGAGGCTGAGGCAGGAGAATCATGAATTCAAGGCAAGTTTGAGCTACATAGTAAGACCCTGTCAGATAAAAAAGCAATGAGGGAGCTGGGAAGGTGGCTCAGTGGTACAGCGCTTGCCTTGCATGCATGAGGCCCTGGGTTTGATTCCTTAGCACCGTGGAAAAAGCCGGAAGTGGTGTCGTGGCTCAAGTGGTAAAGCACTCGCTTTGAGCTGAGGAGCTGAGGGACAGCACCCAGGCCCAGAGTTCAGGCCCCACAGCTGACCAAAAAAAAAAAAAAGCAATGAGAGTGTTAGCAGTGCCCAGGTTCAATCCCTTATGCCACCTGCAAGTGAATACAGTAAACCTGCACGCAGAGAGATGGTTTGCATGGTCACAGGTTTTCTGTAAGTTGCTGTTTGTTAAAGTTATAGAGCACACCTTAGTGGGGTTAGTACAATGGTATTTCTTTTGCCTAGTATGTATGAAGCTCTTAATTTGACCCCTGGTCGTGCAAAAACATGTAATAAAATATACATATAAAATAGAATACATTGAAGAATTTATAGAAAAGACAATTTTATATTAAAATATTGTTATCTCTGGGAGGTAAATTTATATAATTTTCTCCTGTCAATTTTCCAATTTTTTGGTGTTTTGAGCATGCATTTGAAAATCATGAATGGCTGAAAAAAACTTAAAATCTTGAGTCTAATAAAAAAAAAAATTACGGGGCTGGGAAGGTGGCTCAGTGGTAGAGCGCTTGCCTTGCATGCTCGAGGCCCTGGGTTCGATTCCTCAGCACCACATAAGCAAAAAGAAAAAAGCCAGAAGTGGCACTGTGGCTCAAGTGGTAGAGTGCTAGCCTTGAGCTGAAGAGCTGAGGGACAGCGCCCAGGCCCAGAGTTCAGGACCCAGGACCGGACCCAAAAATAAATAAATAAAAATACTGGAGACTTTAAAGTTGGCACTACCAAAAAGGACTCTGGCCTCAGGACAAAGGATGGTGTCTTAAATAGGACCACTTATGGGATCTTCTCAGTCAGTCCCCAGTGGCTTTCTTACTGGGTCTTCCTTACCTGTGGCTCTCATCTTTATACATGACACCTCAGGCTCACAAGATGGCATATCACTTCCTCTATCACATCCATGTTTCAGAAAGGAGGAAGGGGGTAAAATGTCAAACTTCCCTTTCTAGCTCAGTCAGCACTTCTCTTTATGGGCTTCACAGGGAGCACACCCAGCAACTTCATTTCCACCTCCCTTATAACCCTGTTACCTGGCCACCTCTCCCTGTACTGTGTTACCTGTGTGTGTGCTGCTCATGTGCTTGGACATGTTCCAGACTAGCCCTCTACCACTGGAGCCACATCACCACGTCCAGCCTTTTCTGAGTAGTTTATTGGAGATAAGAGTCTCATGAACATTCTTGCTCAGGCTGGCTTTGAACTGTGATTTTTAGATATCAGCCTTCTGTGTAGCTCATAGACATGAATAGTGAGGTTTTTTGTTTGTTTTAGTCAGTTGTGAGGCTTGAACAGCCCTGGGCACTGTCCCTCAGCTTTTTTACTCATAGCTTGTGTTCTACCACTTTGAGCCACAGCACCATTCCTGGTTTTCTGGTGGTTAATTAGAGGTAAAAGTTTCCCAGACTTAGCCGGGCACCGGTGGCTCACACCTGTCATCCCAGCTATTCAGGAGGCTGAGATCTGAGGATCATGGTTCAAAGCTAGCCCGGGCAAGAAAGGCCATGAAACTCTTTATCTCCAATAAACCACTAAAAAACTAGAAGTGGCACTGTGGCTCAATCAGTAGAGCACTTGCCTTGAGCTGAAGAGCTGAGGGACAGCGCCCAGGCCCAGAGTTCAAGCCCTATGACTGACAAAAAAAAAAAAAAAGTTTCCCAGACTTTTCCTGCCCAGGCCAGCTTTGAACAACGATCCTCAGATCTCAGCTTCCTGGGTAGCTAGAATTACAGGTGTGAGCCATCCATGCCCAGATCAAGCAGTGTACTTTTTAAAATTATTTTTTGGGGGGGTCCGGTCGTGGGGCCTGAACTCTGGGCCTGAGCGCTATCCCTCAGCTCTTCAGCTTAAGGCCAGCGCTCTACCACTTGAGCCACAGCGCCACTTCCGGCTTTTTTCTTTTTGCTTATGTGGTGCTGAGGAATCGAACCCAGGGCCTCAGGCATGTAAGGCAAGCACTCTACCACTGAGCCACCTTCCTAGCCCCTTTTTTTTAATTGTGAAAATACTGTACAGAGGGGTTACAATTTCATGGGCAAAATAATGAGTACATTTCTTTTTTTTGTTTTTTTGGGTCCCTTTGTGGGGCCTGAACTCTGGGCCTGGGCGCTGTCCCTCAGCTCTTCAGCTTAAGGCCAGCGTTCTACCACTTGAGCCACAGCGCCACTTCCGGCTTTTTTTCTTTTTTTTGCTTATGTGGTGCTGGGGAATCGAACCCAGGGCCTCATGCATGCAAGGCAAGCGCTGTACCACTGAGCCACCTTCCCAGCCCCATGACATTTCTTATCAACCATTGTAGCCTCCTCCTTTATTTCCCCTTCCCATCCCTTCCCATCCTCCCTCCACCCACCCCCTTTTTTTTTGGTCAGTCGTGGGGCTTGAACTCTGGGCCTGAGTGCTGTCCCTCAGCTTTTCAGCTCAAGGCGAGCACGCTATCACTTGAACTACAGCAGCACTTCCGGTTTTCTGGTGAATTTTTTTTTTTTTTGGGTCCAGTCGTGGGGCCTGAACTCTGGGCCTGGGTGCTGTCCCTCAGCTCTTCAGCTCAAGGCTAGCGCTCTACCACTTGAGCCAGAGCACACTTCCGGCTTTTTTTTTTTTTTTTTTTGCTTATGTGGTGCTGAGGAATCGAACCCAGGGCCTCGAGCATGCAAGGCAAGCACTCTACCACTGAGCCACCTTCCCAGCCCTCTGGTGATTTATTGGAGATAAGAGTTTCACAAACTTTCCTGCCTGGGCTGGCCTTGAACCGCAATCCTCAGATCTCAGCCTCCTGAGTAGCTAGAATTACAGGCGCGAGCCAGCGGCGCCCAGCTCAAGTAGTGTATTCTTTATCTGGACACATTACCTGGAATAGAACACAGTTCTGTCAGAAGAATGAGAGTAAATACATGGCTTTAGTGTCTATCATAGTATTAATACTTTCTGTGGGGCTTCAAAGCCTTTAAAATCCCATTGTTTAATGGGATCTTGAGGGGAAAATGCAGTTGCATCCCTGACCCCTTTCTACAGTAGCCATGTGTCAGGAACAGTGTTTCACAGCACAGGTCAAGAACCAAAGAACAAACCACATCTCTTCAGCTCTTACAGACTGGGTTTGTTAGTCATGTAACTACCAGTAAGAGGAATAGGTCTAATGTCTTTATGATAGTATCACATTGTTTCAGCTTTACCATCTAAAATGCTCATTTTCGACATTTATCATCATAGTTCAGGCTTCTTCCCAGGATGACCCTCACAACAATCTTTTAGTTTTTGGTGTGGTTTGTTTTTGTTTTTTGGTTTGTTTTGCCAGTCCTGGGGCTTGAACTCAGGGCCTGGGCACTGTCCTTGAGTTTTTTTTTTGCTCAAGGATAGCACTCAACCACTTGAGCCACAACACTACTTCTGGCTTTTTCTGTGCATGTGGTACTGAGGAATCGAACCCAGGGCCTCATGCGTGCTATGCAAGGCACCTTCCCAGCCCAGGCAAGAGAAACTTTGCAGTTAACATCTTGAAGGATTTCCTCTTTGTCTTTTTTTTTCTGAGTATAGGTGTGTGTGTAAATATATGCATAAATATTTTATATTTTATTGTAAAGATACTGTAGAGGGGTAATGAGTCCATTTCCTATCAAGCATGTTACCCCCTCCTTTGTTTTTCCCCTGCCATCCCTTCCCTCCTGACATACTTTTTTTTCAGCAAGCAGTGTTTCTCTTCCTGTTCCTTTCTGAGCCAGGCCTACATTGAGGTTAACACAAGAAAGAAGGCTTTGCTTCTGGCTGACATTCCTACTTCCTGGTTAAGGCACACTGGTGACAAAGCTGTCAGACAGCAGTGCAAAGTAACAGTGACATTATCAAAATGGACATGTATATCTCACACATCTACTTCCAGACTGGACTGGGGATGTGTTTTAATGGTAGTGTTTGCCTAGCATGTATAAAGTCCTAAGTTCCACCCCCAACACTAGGGCGAAGTATGAGAAGACTACATGAAGCTACATTGTAGCTGTTTCAGGAATCACCCATATCTCCACAATAGAAATAGAGCCTCCCCCCTTTTGCTTCTTCCCTTCTTGGGAGTTGCCATGTTTAAATAATTTAAAACTGGGCTGGGATGTGGCTCAGTGGTAAAAGCGCTTGCCTAGCAAGTGCCTCCTCCTGGGTTCGATCCCCAGTACCAAAAAAGAAAAGGCCAAAAAAAAAAAAATACAGGGACTGGGAAGGTGGCTCAGTGGTAGAGTGCTTGCCTTGCATGCATGAGGCCCTGGGTTCGATTCCTCAGCACCACATAAGCAGAAAAAGCCAGAAGGAGAGGTATGGCTCAAGTGGTAGAGTGCCAGCCTTGAGCTGAAGAGCAGGCCCCACGACGGACAAAAAAAAAAAAAAAAAAAGAAAGAAAAAAGAACATCTTTGTATGGGAGGATTTGCCTTGCCTGCCTTTACTTTTATGTGTGCCACTACTGAGGTTTGAACTCAGAGCCTGGAGCTCTCCCTTGACTTTATGGCTTAAGGTTATCACTCTAGTACTTGAGCCACAGCTCTGTTCCTGGATTTTTGCTGCTTGGTTTTTTGTCTTTTTGGTCGTGGCTTGAACTCTGGGTCTGGGCGCTGTCCCTCAGTTCTTCACCTCAAGGCTATGGCTCTGCTGCTTAATTGAATAGAAAGGTCTCCTGGAATTTCCTGCTGAGTCTGGCTTCAAACCAAGATTCTCAGATTTCAGCCTTCTGCATAGTTAGGATCATAGGCATGCGCCACTACACCCAGCCTGAATTTACATTTCTTTTTTTTTTGGGGTCCGGTCGTGGGGCCTGAACTCTGGGTCTGGGCGCTGTCCCTCAGCTCTTCAGCTCAAGGCTAGCGCTCTACCACTTGAGCCACAGCGCCACTTCCAGCTTTTTTCTTTTTTCTTATGTGGTGCTGAGAAATCGAACCCAGGGCCTCAGGCATGCAAGGCAAGCGCTTTTCCACTGAGCCACGTTCCCAGCCCTGAATTTACATTTCTTAAAGATAATTTTAGGAAGTGAAGCTGTAGAACAAGTGGCAGCGCACCCACCAGCTTTGAGGGGGGGAAAGCTGTGAAAGCATCCAAGTCCTGTGTGCAAGCCCAGAACTGGCACACAAAAAAAGGAAATTTTACTTTAACAAGTATAAAACCTACATACCATCAGGTCTAAGCAGAACTGAATGCTTCAAAGCCAGGCATCAATGACTTACCCTGTAATCCTAGCAACTCAGGAGGAAAGCTGAGGATCACAGTTCAAAGCCAGCCCAGGCAGGAAAGTCCAAGAGACTCATCTCTAATAAACTACCAAGTAGCTAGAAGAGGATCTGTGGTATAGCAATAGCCTTGAACAAAGGAAACTTGAAGACAGCACCCAGGCTCTGAGTTCAAGTCCCAGGACCAGTACAAAAACAAAAAAAACAAAAACCTTCCAAGTCACCTATCTTTTAAGACTGAACATCTAGGATAATGAATTTAAAATAGGTAAAATGGATTCCATCAAAATTAAAGACTTCTAAATGTATCAAAGAAAACTTAAGGTTAATGAAGTGTGTCGCTATTAATTTGGAGATTATTTATTTTGCCGGTTGTGGGGCCTGAACTCGGGCTGGGTGCTGTCCCTCAGCTCTTCAGCTCAAGTCTAGTGCTCTACCACTTGAGCCACAGCACCACTTTTTTTTTTCCTGCTTATGTGGTGCTGAGGAATAGAACCCAGGGTCTCAGGCATGCTAGGCAAGCACTCTACCACTGAGCCACCTTCTCAGCCCCAACTGGCTATTAATTTGGATACGGTTCTTTTACTAGGGCACTGTAGACCAACTTGAAATGGAGTCACTAATGCTAAAACCAGAGCTGTTTGCTGATGAGATGGGAGTCTGGCTCAGTGGCAGAATACTTACCTAGAATGGATGAGGCTCCTAGGATCCCCAAAATCTCTCCCCTCCCTAAAGAGTCAAGTGCCCTGTGCTTTAGTAAGGTCACCAATTAGGCTGGTATCAGCCAGTTGATAGCCAGTCCACTTTGCCCCCTGTGCTAGTTAGTTGCTTGTTCCCTTCTTGTTCCCTTCCCACACCCAGTGGAGTTCCTGAGCACTAAACAGCTAATTCTCAGTTCTTGAATAACAAGCAAATTGGATCTTCAAAACTCAATTTGTTGAAGTTTTCTTCTTTGATACAACCCATAGAATGGGAGAAAATAGTTAAGGCCAGACATGGTGGCACATGCTTGTAATCCTAGCTACCTAGGAAGGACATATTAGCAGATTGTGATCCAAGATTGCCCGTGGAAAAAGCATGAGACCTTACCTGAAAGGCAAGCTAGGGCTGGGAAGGTGGCTCAGTGGTAGAGCGCTTGCCTTGCATGCCTGAGGCCTTGGGTTCCATTCCTCAGCACCACATAAGCAAAAAAAGAAAAAAGCTGGAAGTGGCGCTGTGGCTCAAGTGGTAGAGCGCTCGCCTTGAGCTGAAGAGCTGAGGGACAGTGCCCAGGCCCAGAGTTCAGGCCCACGACCGACAAAAAAAGTCTCTCAGACTTTTGTGCCCAGGCTGGCTTTGAACCGTGATCCTCAGATCTCAGCCTCCTGAGTAGCTAGATGACAGGCGTGAGCCACTTCTACACCCAGGCAGCATGCGTGCGCGCATGTGCGTGTGCACGAGTGTGCCCGTGTGTGTGCGCGCGCGCGTGTGTATGGGTGTGCCCGTGTACGGCTGTGCCCGTGTGTGCGCGCGTGCGTGTGCACGGGTGTGCCCGTGTATGTGCGCGCGCGTTTGCGTATGTGCCCATGTGTGTGCGTGCGCGCGTGTGCGTGCGCGCGTGCACGGGTGTGCCCGTGTATGTGCGTGCGCGCGTGTGCGTGTACGGGTGTGCCCGTGTGCGCGCGTGCGTCCTAGCCCTTGCACTCAGGCCCCCGCCGCCGCGGCCCTCGGTGGTTCACGGCTTTGGGGCCGGGGCTGGCTTCGGCTCCGTCCGTGGTCACGGCCCCAGGGGCTGGGCCGCAGGTCGGGCCTGGCAGTCTTCCCCGGCGGGGGCCCGGGAGCCTCGCTTTCTCCGGGTGCTGTGCGGGGCCTCCTCAGGGGCAGCCGCCCGCTCCGCGTCCCGGGGTCGGTCGGTCGGTCGGTCCGCCCCCCGTCCCGGGGTCGGTCGGTCGGTCGGTCCGCCCCCCGTCCCGGGGTCGGTCGGTCGGTCCGCCCCCCGTCCCGGGGTCGGTCGGTCGGTCGGTCCGCTCCGCGTCCCGGGGTCGGTCGGTCGGTCGGTCCGCTCCGCGTCCCGGGGTCGGTCGGTCGGTCCGCCCCCCGTCCCGGGGTCGGTCGGTCGGTCGGTCCGCCCCCCGTCCCGGGGTCGGTCGGTCGGTCGGTCCGCTCCGCGTCCCGGGGTCGGTCGGTCGGTCCGCTCCGCGTCCCGGGGTCGGTCGGTCGGTCGGTCCGCTCCGCGTCCCGGGGTCGGTCGGTCGGTCGGTCCGCTCCGCGTCCCGGGGTCGGTCGGCCGGCCCGCCCCCCGTCCCGGGCACCCAGCCTCCGCTGTTCCGAGGCGTGGGCCCGGGGGGGCGGGCGGAGGAGCGGGTCCGACTCCACAGGGCGCCGCCGGTCGCCAACTTTGCGTTCGTACGGCGGCCGAGTGCGCGCGGCCGGGACGTGACGTGACGTAACGTGACGTGAGCGCGGCCGGGGCGGGGCTCGCCTCCTCCGGCGTCGGGCGTCTCGTGACGGGCACTTCCGCTCGGGGCGGCGGCGGTGGCGGAAGTGGGAGCGGAGACCGAGCCTTGGCCATAAAGCCCGAGGCGGCGGCGGCGTCGGGGGCTGGCAGACGCAGGGCCGACCGCAGGCCGACCGACCGACCGACCGCCGCAGCGCAGCGCAGCGCTCTCCGCCCGCCCTCCGTCGCGTCTCCTCGCGGAGCCCGCGCCGCGCCGCGGTGAGTAGCGGCCCGGGCCGGCGGCCTCCCCCCCGCGGGCCCGGGCCTGGCGTCCCGCGGGCCGGGCCTCCCCCCGGGCCGGGCCGAGCCGCCGGGCCGCCGCGCCCCCGGCCCCCGGAGCGCCCCCGCGCCGGGCCCGGCCCCACCCGCCCGGCCCGCGGTGGGCGAGGCCGCCGCGGCCTGAGTCAGGGCGGCGGGCCGGGTCACGTGCCGCCCGCCCGGCGAGCGCGGCGGCGGCGGCGGGGCTCCGGGGCGCCGGGAAGTTTCCCGCGGTGGGGCGCGGGCGGCGCTGCGGGGCCGGCCGGCCGCGGGGCTCCGCTCGCCTCCCGCGGGGCCGGGCCGGAGCCGGAGCGGGGCCCGTCCACCCGCGGCCCCGCGCGTCGCCCAAGGTCACCGTCCGTGGTCCGAGCCGCGGCGGGGCGCCTCGGCGGCGGGTGCGGTGCGGGCGCCGGCCGGCGCGAAGGCGCCGCGCGCGGGGGGCGCCCGCTGGTGCGGCCCGGCCGGCTTCCGGGAGCGGGCGCGGCCCCGGGCGCTCCCGCCGGGCTGCGCCCAGCCCAGGGGCGCCCGCCCCGCCCGGCGAGGCCGGGGCGCGGGACAGCGGCGCCCGCGGGGCCCGCACAGCCCGGAGGCGGCCCGCGCCGCCCGCGGGGCCCCGGCCGAGCGCTGGCGTAAACAAACCCGCGGCGGGCAGGGAAGGCGCGGCCCTGCCGCTTGGGGCGGCGTTTTCTTTCCCCTTCTCATTTGCCTGCTGTGGCAGCCGTGCCGTTGTCACAGCCCCAAACCCTGTCATCACAGAGCAGCCCTTCAAGTGCCGTCCGGCAGGGCGCCGGGGCTCGCCTGGCCCCCAGCGGCCGGGAGGCTAGCCTGGGGACGGAGCTAGCCCAGTCTGTGCACCGAAGCCCACGAGCCTTTTTTATTTTGTTTTTTAATTGGTTATGGGCCTGGGGTCCAGGACCTGGGTGCTGTCCCTGAGCTCTTGAATTACAGCACCACTTGCAGTTTTTTGTTGTTTTTTTTTCTTGTGGTTAATTGGAGATGAGTCTCCTGGATCTTCCTGCCAGTGCTGACTTTGAACCACGATCCGCAGATCTTAACCCCTTAGTAGCTAGGATTACAGGATGAGCCGCCACCACTGGCTGAGACTTTCATTTTCAATAAACTACGTAGAAAAACCTGGAAGTGGGATTGGGAATGGAGTGCTTGCCTAGCCTGCCTGAAGCCCGAGGCTCAATTCCTCAGTACCAGGAAACAGAAAAAGCCAGAAGTGCCGGTGTAGCTCTCACCTGTCAGCCCAGCTACTCAGGAGTCTGAGATCTGAGTATCAAAGTTCAAAGCCAGCCTGGGCAGGCAACTCTGTGAGACTCTCATCTCCAATTAACCACCAGAAAACCAGAAATGGTGCAGTGGCGCAAGTGGTAGAGTGCTCACCTCGTGCTGAAGATCTCAGGGACAGTGCCCAGGCCCAGAGTTCAAGCCCCACTACCAACCAAAAAAAAAAAAGTGGAAGTGGCACTGTGGCCACAAGTGGTAGAGTGTTTGTTAACCTTGAGCAAAAGAAGTTTAAGAACAGCCCACAGGCCCTGACTTTGGAGCTAGATTTCTGGGTCTACCACCAAATAAAGCAATAAAGTTTGGTCTTTTTTTTTTTCTTTTTCTTTTTTGTCCATCGTGGGGCCTGAACTCTGGGCCTGGGCGCTGTCCCTCAGCTCTTCAGCTCAAGGCTAGGTCTCTACCATGTGAACCACAGCACCACTTCTGGTTTTCTAGTGGTTTATTGGAGGTGAGAGTCTCACAGACTTTCCTGCCTGGGCTGGCTTTGAACCGTGATCCTCAGGTCTCATCCTCCTGAGTAGCTGGGATGACAGGTAAGAGCCACCGGTGCCCAGCTTTCATTTTTTTTTTTTTTTTAATCTTTATTTTTTTTGCCAGTCTTGGGGCCTGAACTCTGGGCCTGGGCACTGTCCCTCAGCTCTTCAGCTCAAGGCTAGTGCTCTACCAACTTGAGCCATAGCACCACTTCTGGCTTTTTCTGCTTATGTGGTGCTGAAGAATCCAACCCAGGGTCTCATGCATGCAAGGCAAGCACTCTACCACTGAGTCACCTTCCCAGCCCCTATCTGTTAGTCTTTAATGCCATATACATGAAGAAAGAAAGTACAAAGAAGATGTCAGTGTCAATAACTGAAATTAACACTTTGAAAAAATGTTTCTGCAGCAAGTGAAGACAGGGAAGTACCTAGAGCCATTAGATGACACTGACAGATAAGTGTTTTGATAACTTAAAGAACTGATGTCTGTGAATACAAGGGCAGTTTTATCTGGAAGAGTCAGCAGAAAACAACCAAAAAAAAATACAGGACGGAGGAGCAGCTCATTCCCACAACTTCAGAACCCTTCAAAACATGACATCAGCACCAAGAAGAGCCACCCTTCAGCCTTAGTCAGGATGCTTCTGTTGAGTTCCCAGGAAAACCCAGCCTAATACCTAGACAAATCTATCTCAGCTGTATTTAGAGATTTAAATGGACGTAGAGTTGGATGATTTATCACCGAAAAAAGCAGTAAAGATTTAAGGGAAATCTGAGAGGACAGTGCATAAGACAACTTACATACATGTGTGGTTTGAGTTTGGTTTAAATTGGCTCCATCTCTTCATAGAAACGTTAACAAGTGGGCTGGGAAGGTGGCTCGGAGGTAGAGTGCTTGCCTTGCATGCATGAGACCCTGGGTTCGATCCTTCAGCACCACATAAGCAAAAAAAGCTGGAAGTGGAGCTATGGCTCAAGTGGTAGAGCGCTAGCCTTGAGCTGAAGAACTCAGGGACAGTGTTCAGGCCCCACAACTGACCAAAAAAAAAAGCAAAAGAAAAAAGACTAACAAATAGTCTGCATTTATGACTTAAAACATAATTTGTGAGTGTGGGATATGTGGGAACTAGTTTTGGTGCTTGAATTCAGGGCTTGGGTGCTGTCCCCAAACTTCTGTGCAGGCTAGCATTCTTTTTTTTTTTTTTTTTGTCAGTCATGGGGCTTGAACTCTGGGCCTGGGCGCTGTCCCTCAGCTCAAGGCAAGTGCTCTACAGCTTGAACCACAGCGCCACTTCCACTTTTCTAGTGGTTTATTGGAGATAAGAGTCTCATGGAGTTTCCTGTGAGGGCTAACTTGGTCCTCAGATCTCAGCCTCCTGAGATTACAGGCGTGAGCCACCGGCACCCGGCCCAAGGCTAGCATTCTAACCACTTTGGCCACAGCTTTACTTGAGCTTTTTTTGTTTTTTGGGTCCGGTCATGGGGCCTGAACTCTGGGCCTGGGCACTGTCCCTCAGCTCTTCATCTCAAGGCTAGCGCTCTAGCACTTGAGTCACAGCATCACTTCCGGCTTTCTTCTTTTTGCTTATGTGGTGCTGAGGAATTGAACCTCAGGCTTGAGGAATTGGGCCTCTGGCATGCAAGGCAAGCGCTCTACCACTGAGCCACCTTCCCAGCCCATACTTGAGCTTTTTTTTGGTGCTTAATTGGAGATAGATAGGAGTCTCACAGATCCAGCCCAGGCTGGCTTTGAACTTTGATCTTCAAATCTCAGCCTCCTGAGTAGCTAGGATGACAGCTGTGAGTCAAGCCACTACTACTTGGCAAGAAAGCTTCTGAATGCTGCTTTGGATAGTGGTTCATGAATTACCGTTGACCCTGATGTGGTTGAAATCAAAACAGGCTTTTTAGGAATCTGACTAGCTTCAGTTTTTGTTGTTGTTATTTGTTTTTTTGTTTTTGGTGAACTTTGGGCTTGGGTGCTGACCTTCAGCTCAAGGCAAGCACCCTACCACTTGAGCCACAGCGCCACTCCTGGTTTTCTAGTGGTTTATTGGAGATAAAGTCTCATAGACTTTCCTGCCCTTTGAATCGTGATCCTCAGATCTCAGCCTCCTGAGTAGCTAGGATTACAGGCGTGAGCCACTGGCACCTGGTTTAGCTTCAGTTTTATTACTCTAGATTTTGATTCTGAAAACAAATTTGAGATTTGTTACTCAGGAAATTCTCCTGGGAGGAAGAGAAGACTTGGGAGTTAGTTCCAGTGATGACATTCAGTATTAGCCTTGTTCCTTTGCTTCAAGAAACCATACTTGATGCAGTGGGCCTAGAGTCCCCTGGGACTTTCTGTTTTGCTGACATCATCACTGCTGTAGAGATTGGTCTGCTTGATTCTATCCATTTCCTGGTCACCTAGGACTGCGTGTGTTGGCATGAAACAAATCTGAGGAAGCACATTGTAGCACATTAAACCCTGAGGACTTAGGCAGTTCTTGTAGGAATTTGGCATCTGACTTGGCAGGTAGAGGAAAGCGGGTCTCTGCTCTGGCTGTAAAGACAGCCTGCTTCTTACTGGGTGACTCATCTGACTTCAGGTGTCCTTTAAATATTACTTAACAGACAGTGCGCATGTGTGCAAGTATAGCAAGACCGCGGTGTACAACCAACATGGGTTAATAATGAGTGGGAAAATTAATAATGTAAACAGTTACACCATTTGGTTTCCAGTATTCTTTTTTGTTTTTTGTTTTTTTTGTTGTTGTTGTTGCTCATGGGGCTTTTGAACTCTGGGCCTGGGGGCTGTCCCTCAGCTCTTCAGCTCACTCTACCACTTGAGCCACAAGCCACTTCTGGCTTTTTTTGCTTATATGGTGCTGAGGAATGGAACCCAGGGCCTCATGCATGCAAGGCAAGCGCTCTGCCACTGAGCCGCCTTCCCAGCCTCAAAGCTACTATTTTTAAGGTTTGTCTCCTTTTGTCAGTCCTGGGGCTTGAACTCTGGGCATGGGCACTGTCCCTATGCTACTTTTACTCAAAGCTAGTGCTTTGTCACTTGAGCCACAGTGCCACTTCGGCTTTTTCTGTGATTAATTGGAAATAAGAATCTCATGGACTTTCCTGTCCAGGCTGGCTTTAAACTATGATCCTCAGATTTCAGCCTCCTCAGTAGATAGGATTAAAGATGTGAGCAACTGGTGCCTGGCTTATTTTTTTTTTAACTATTTTTTTTTGTCTTTTCTTTTTTGGTACTGGGGATCGAACCCAGGATGTTACACTTGCTAGGCAAGCGTTTGCCACTGAGCTACATCCCAGCCCTGCCTGGCTTATTTTTAAGTTTTTACATATTTACTATTTTGTGTTGATCTTGGGGCTTGAATTCATCACCTGGGTGCTGTCCCTGAAATTTTTGCATTATACTGCTTGAACCAGTGCTCCACCTTGACTCTCTGGTGATGAATTGGAATATGAGTATCACAGCAGCTGGGAATGTGGCTCAGCGGTAGAGTGCTAACCTAGCATGGATGAAGCCCTGAGTTCAATTCCTCAGTACCACACAAATAGAAAAAGCTGAAAGTGGTGCTATGGCTGAAGTGGTAGATTGCTACCCTTGAGCAAAAGAAGCTCTGGAGCCAGGTGCTAGTGGTCAACACCTGTAAAATCCTAGCTATTGATGATCATAGTTCAAATCCATCCCAGACAGGAAAGTCCATGAGACTCTTATCTCCAATTAACTACCAAAAAAACAGAAGTGGCGCTGTGACTCAAGTGGTAGAGTGCTTGCCTTGAGCTGAAGAGCTCAGACACAGTGCCCAGGCCCAGGACTGGAAGGAAAAAAAGGTCTCCCAGACTTTCTGCCTGGGCTGGCTTTGAACCATGATCCTTAGATCTCAGCCTCCTGAGTAGTTAGGATCATAGGTGAGTCACCAGCACCCAGCCAAAGGAACTTTTAATCTTTAAAACCACAGCATAAGCTTAATGAAAA